TCACTAAGAGTTAATTCACGCAAACATAACCTTGCATAATTGTGATAATCTTTTTTAAAAACTGTAAGTGGTGTACTTCATGTAAAATACTTTGTAGACAAATTGTAATTTTAACTACAGCAAACACAAATAAACAGACTTATGTATCACTTTTGGCCTTACAGTATTCTATAAACCTTTTTTAATTATGAAGCTGTCAGCAAATTGATGTTCCACTCAGTCACTAACCTTCCCTGAATTAGGCGTGCCAAGGTTTTCTTTGCAACGTTGTTCTTTCTGTGTGGCTGCAGCAGGATAAAGCAGCAGACCTGGGTTTCGCTGCAGCTGTTAGCCAGAGGTTCCTGAGGTACCAGGCTGAAATGCTCAGTCTTAGTTTCTAAGGCAAAGCAGGTTTATTTTCAACAGAAGTTGTCAGCTTATACACGGAAGTAAGGGTTGTAGCAGATGGAAAACCACCAGCTGAACTCAAACCTTCACAACAAATACCACACAGCTTTTTGCACAGACACCACACCAGAAAGAGTGCCAATGTAGAGGCCAGCATTGGGAAAGGCAGCAGGCCAGCGTTCTAAGCCACCTTCTGTCGAAGACAAGAGATAAAACTCTTGTTATTGGAAAGTTAGCAATCATGAGAAATGGGAGCTGTTAACACACATCCAGTTCCCTGCAGTCACAGGAAGAGCTAAAAGGTCCAGTCTTGAACAACCACTGGTTTTAGTCTTCAGCAGTAGTATGAGTGCTGTCTGGAGTTACATTACTTAAAACCTTTGTACATGGAGCAAAGTGCATACAACATGTAGTGTCAGACGTAAGCTGTGAGCGAAGAAAAGCCTCTCTGCTGTTCATAGGTTTGAGACCACCATTCATTGCAGCACAGTGCTATTTGAAACTGTTTTGATTATAAAAAGACTGAAGTTAAGCTTTCTACAGTGAAATTACTACTGTAAGTTATGAGTTAGTTGCAGCATTTTCAGAACCTATCAATCCATTTTATTCTTTGAATTTCATTGGGAGTGTTAAAGTGAGAAGATTAAATATCAGCTGGATTCTGAAGCAAAGAAGAAAACATAACCCGGCCCCAGAACCCTCCAGCTGTTTGCTCAAGGCCTTCACACGTATCTGTTCGAAGCAAGTCACCAAACCAGAGCATCAGGCATTTCAAAAGCAACTCCAACTGGTGCATTTTTTCCCAACAACAGCTCAAAAAGCTTAGGTTTTCTATGAAGTGGAGTTTATTACAACATTGCAGAAGGGTATTTAAACAGTTATGTTAATGGAATATTTTACAAATCCATTCATACAGAGAAAAGCAAACACAATGTCGCTTTAAAGGTATTACCAATCAGCTACACTGCTAAGCCGTTAGCGGGTAAGCATAGTACTGTAAACTAGCAATCAAGTATTGTAGTTCAGAACGAGATGGCAAGATACCAGACAAGCAAAGACAGTTTTAAGATTTTTTGTACTCAATTCTTTCTACTTTCACATCATCTCCAATCAGTTGATAGACATATGTAACTACTGTAGAAGCCTGGATATCCATCAGCACAAACGAAGGAATGATGTTGCTGGAAAGAGAAGAAAAAAAATCGTGTTAATTGTGCATATATAATCGCCTTAGCAGGGTTTCTTCACTACCTAACAGAAATCACTTTAAGAAAAACAGGAATCAGTTTTGTAAGCCCAGTACATCAGCTCTGAAGCTCTCAGTGTTTCAGGCGAGGAGATTTGGCAAGTGCTACCAACCCTTCCTCTCCCTGCCATGGAGAAGGTCAACATCAACCTTCATAATGGGTTCTGCAGCTCAGTTTTGTTGTCAGAAAGAAAGTCCCCACAGATACTTCCCATACTTCACTTACTTCTCTAAGGCATGATAGGCTCCCGTAGCTGATCCGGGATTGATATAGAACTTGTTTTCATGTTCAAATGCCTCAAATTTGTGTGTGTGTCCTGAAATGAGGATGTCCACATCAAACTGCCTCTGTAGCAGTGCCAGGCTGGCCATATCACCCCACGGAATAACCTGGTGGCCATGAATCAGCCCAATTTTAAACTGTCCAACAGTTACAACTTTCTGTTCAGGATAATTCAGGTTCTAAAAACAAAAAACCCAAACACAGATTAGATGTACAGATTTCTGTTCAAAAACAACTCTACGCAGCACAAGTATCAGTGTAATTTGCCCTACTGCTACAAAACGAGAGCTACAAAGCTGCTTTTCTGAACGCTGCGGAGAAAGCGGTAGGATGCGAGGAACTCCACAGACCTGACCACAGCAGGTCCTGCTCGCTGGAGTCCCGGACGCAGCCAAGCACGCAAATGACTTGTATTTGTACTGACAACAAAGGACTTCCTGTGCAATTCGCATTCTTGATGCAGCAACCCCAACTCTTTTACCCAGTTTGCTCTTCACGTGCTCTCAGTACTACATAACCTCAGTTTGCCCATTTTTACTTGAATTACAAATAACCCCCATGTTGCCTTTACGTAAAAGATGCACAGAAAACATCATTACCTCATCAAAGTCCCCTCGGACAACGTGAACGTCCCCAGCCAGAGTCTTGAGGTAGTCGTAAGTGTCCTTGGTGCAGAGGTTTCCCGTGCAGAGGATGTGCTGGATCTTCCCCGGAACCAGCAGCTTTTTGAATTTGGCCGGGAGGCTGTTGCATCGATGTGGAATGTGAAGATCTCCTAACACTAACACCAACTTACCAGGTGTTACGACAGGGAAGAAAGATCATTACAGACACTTACTATGACAAGAATCATTCCACAGCCTACAGATATTTTTGTTGTTGTTGCTGAAAGCCATTGCAAGGTATAACAAAAGAAATGTGTTACTGCTTGATGTATTTCACACAAATTTGGGAACTACCATAAACTATCCCACTTTTTTATTTTCTCCTCCATAAACATAAAAAAAAAAACATAGTACATCTCTAGTACATCTTCTCAAGCACAGACCTGGCTAAACCCTGGCCACTTCCCTTTAAAACTCTTCGTCCAAGTTTCTTTCTACTTTAACCTCTGGTTTCTTCCTTGTTAAAAGAAAAAAAAAAAAAAGGCAGTGAATTTGCACCATGTGTTAATAGCTGACCAGAACAGGCAGCTTGTTCCGAGTCCGCAGCGTAGGAACCACTGAGCAACAGAATAAGACTAATAGTTCAAAAAACGAAAGAAAACAAAACCAGGGCGCTGCAGAGAGAAGCCAGGCTACTGCAGACAGCGTTCCTGTTACCAGCTCTACGCATTCAGGATTTCCGTACATGAGATGCAAGGAGAATACAAATTTAACGGGGGCTTCAAAATGAAGGGTTCAGAAGAAGTAAGGCCATAGTTTAATACCACAGACTTTAAAACTGCGAGTAAAGAAATAATTAATGTGAGCAACACAGCAATAAATTAATTATGCAAAAAGGGCATGGAAAGCTCTGTAAAGCACGGGATGTTATGGCCCTGCGCTGTGAGAACACCGGGTCTGGAGACAGTTCTCCCTCTGACCTTGATAAACTGCTCCACACTACAGAGAGTTTATCTCCCAGCCACAACACTTCGTTAGCAAGACAGTTCCTAACTCAGCCATCAAATGCGTTGGCAAAAGACACCGCCCAGACAGATCTACATAAAAGCGGCACTAACTACGCTAAGAAATCGCCTTTTTCAATATTTGCTTTTTAAATTCTTAGGCCCCGCAGCTACCTTCGGGCTAAGGGTCATCAAAAAAAGCAGAGGGAACCTGGGTGGGTTTTTTGTTTGGGTTTTGGGTTGTTTGAGATGGAGAACATCTCGGCGCCCTCGCCCATGCCAGGCATCGCTGGGCAACAGGCAGCTGAAAGTATCGATAAAGCAACAACAGAGTTTTTTAATGAACGAGCTACGAAAACTAACCCAGAAAAAAAAAAAAAGACATTTTTGATGGTCTTTCAAGAGTTCCCAGTGAAAAACAGCCTTCCTAGCATCAGTCTAGAGATGACAGACTGGAATGCAAGTAAAAAACGAGTAACAAGGGATTGTGATTATTAAAGTGGCAATAGATGGATTCTCTTAATGAGGCTCCAGGGGCTCAAGACGTGCAACACCACTTGCATATTTAATGTTTAATAAAACTATACTGCAACCTAAAACACAGAACGCCCCTGATGTCTGCAGAGTTGCCGCATTCAGCCAAGACCGATCCCTTTGTGGACAGCCTGGCAGGCCCCGTGTTTTCCCCCAAACCACCTCTGAGCTCCCATTAATTAAACAGAAGCAGTAATTACACGCTGGAGCGTGTTTGACCATCGCAGGTACCTGCGACACAAAACAGTGGCAAAGGAGGTGACGACACCCGGCTTTCGGAACGCCGGCGCGACCGTGAGCGTGGTCTGCGCAGCAGCCCCCAACTCACGCGTCCCGTCCCACATTTGCACCGTGTAGTAACGTTACCAAGCCCTTACCACCGGCGTTAGCGACAGCCAAGAGGAGTAAACTTACTCTGTGCCCAGCCTGATTGGAATGAAGAAGTTGATTGCAGACAGGGGAGGGGGGGGGCGGGATGAAAAACAGGGTGAAACATGATCAATGTTAAACAAAAGAAAGCAACAGAAAAGAAAATTAGCCAAATGAACAGGCAAATTATAATGAATTGTTGATGTTATGAAAGAGGCGTTAAAATAAAATTAAAAAAAAATATTTAAAAACATTAAAAGCCGGCTCCTGCGCGCA